GCCAAAACTACCCACTCAATGTTTAATTTTGATCCTCATGCGATAACACCAACACATGCCCAACTCGAAATCAAAGAACTCGTGATCGAAGTGGCCAAGAACAGACTTAAGGACGGTCGAGGTCATGCGTAGCCGAGGAAAGTCCTCAGCGCTATGACATAGTCGAGGATCGTCCTCAGTCGACCATTGCGGAGGACGGACCTCGGCCAACCATGGCCGAGGACTGGCTTTGGCCAACCTTGGTTGAGGACAGGCCTCTGCGCCAAAGACTGACCTCAGCTTGGTAGCCAAGGACTAGCCTCAATCATCGCCCCCACCGCATGTGTTGCAAGGCCTATCCTTGGCTAGGGTGGCGTGGTTTGCATCTAATGATATGTTTGTGTGCTAGTCACATATGTGAACCAACTGGAGTTTTGATCCTTGGTGGTGGTGATGGTGCATAATGTATGTGTGCATTTCAATGTGAACGTGTGCATAATGTAATATTAGAGTGTGCATAATGCAATGTATAAGTGTAGTGTGTGTGCATTATAGTATATATGTTTGTGCATTTTTTGTGGTGTGGTTTGCATCTAACGATGTGCTTGTGCACTAGTCAAGTATGTGAATCAACTGAGATTTTTTATCCTTGTTTTCCTTGTTAGTGGGGTGGTGAATTGGTGAGCTGTCGTAGGCTCCCAAATTAGAACCTTACAGACGTAGTAGCGGGAGTAAGGGTCGATCCCACGAGGAGTAACTAGTTTAACTTTTGTGCTCAAATTAAAGGAAGGGGGGTTTGGAATATATCGAGAATAAAGATCAATTAAAAGAGAATTTAAATAAACAAGTAATTTAACTGAACGAATAAAGCAATGAAAATAATATATCGAAAACACTTATAATAAGAAACCTTGGTTAGTAAAGATCTACCACCGGAATTCAACACTGATCATTGATTAATAAAGTAATTAATATGCAATTGAATATTTGTCGTGAAATTATTTCGTTTCTGTTTTCCCTTAGTTGTAGGTAAATAAAGCACAAGCGGTTTAATTACCCCTAACTACTAAATAATCTAAGACAAGCGCTATAGATTTAATTTAATAGCAGCAATACGAACTAGGAAAACCGACAAACTAAATAACACAAGCACAAGCGGTTGCATTTAATTTAGGAAAATATTCTACCCGAGACCAATTATCACTAAGCCGTCAATAATTAACCTCAGTTGCTACTGAATATTAGAATAATTTGTAGCACAACATTATCTAATATAGCAAATAATTATATCAAATAAATAACTAGTAGGCCTCCCTAGCAATTAAATGATACAACTATTCAAATAATTTAGAAGAATATTTAATACTCAAAATGCATAAAAACATATATAATAAAAATAAATAAATAATCTTACAGCATAATCAATTCCGGGGCATCAATTCACTAAGCCAAGCTAGAAGAAATTAGCCACGAATGGACATTGGTAACAACTTTAAAGAATAATCGAGAGGGGAAGAATGAACGTTTTACAATAAGAAACTCTTGCTATTTATAGCATTCTAAAAATAAGTCAAATGAACGTCCACCGCTCATTTCCTCCGTTTGCGATGTTTGAAGAGTTCTCCGCTGCGCAAGAATCGGCCGATGAAGACATTTTCATTGCTTTCGTACGTGAGCTGCGCATGGGGAAACAAAAGAAAATTTTATTTGTTTACTTTCTTTTATGTTAGTAATTGAACCAACAACACTTAAAATAATATTAAATAAAAGTAAAGACTTTACTAAAAGCTTTAGGTTTCAAAACATAACTTTATAACTAAATATTATTATAAAACACTTATTTAACTAATTAATTATTAAATTCTAAAAAGAAATAATTATTATATAATAGTAATTAATTAATGCAAAATAATTATAAAGATGTATATAAAATAAGAGTGTAAAATATGTCTATCATGAATGATGTGTATTTAATTTGTACATTTCAATGTGAATGTGTGCACAATGTAATGTGTAAGTGTGTATAGTGTCATATAGAAGAGTGCATATTATTCTTGTGACATTCAATAGTGCACACGATGTTGTGGGAAAGTGCACACAATCACCTAGAGTACAACACAACACCCCATTATGATGTCCTCTCCTCCACGTGTTTGTCTCGGTAAATTAAAGTACCAGATATTAACAAAACAATTAGATTTTCTTATATTTAATAATAATAATAACAATAATAATAATAATAATAATAATAATAATAATAATAATAATAATAATAATAACAATAATTTACGCCAATTATCATGTACTGTGATGGCATCCCGGTTACCATCATAGGTTCGAACCCCGGTGGTGGAGGCTTGGATTCTTTGGACTGAAAATGTTTGAGAAAGTATAGAACATATACTACATTTTAAGGAATCATGAATATTTCAAAAAATAATAATAATTTATTATTTAAATGTAATGGTTTATTAATAATATAAAAACTCCTATTTTGTCGTTATCTTACCTATTTCATAGAAGGTTAAAATTTTGTTTGGACAGATTTTCTCCTTATTTGGTATTCATGGGTGATTTGTATTGTTGATTAGGTGCATGGATTTAAGGTGTTGACTTTTAATCATATCCATTGATCACTTATTTTCTATCGTTACGATTTATCCACGGTTCTCATGAGGGGGGGGGGGGCGGGGGGGGGGGTGTTCTCATATGAGGTTGACAAAAATATATATATATATATATATATATATATATATATATATATATATATATAGAGAGAGAGAGAGAGAGAGAGAGAAAGAGAAAGAGAAAAAGAGAGAGAATTTTAAATTTTGATCCTATGACTATAGGGGTATTGTTAATTTTAGTCCCTGACTTTTAAAAGTATCAATTTAGTATTTTAACTATGTAATTTTTATCAATTATGGTCATTTTGAACAAATTGTTGATCAAATTTCTCCGAAAATTTTAATAGTTAGAATAATAAAGGTATTTTGATCATTTCACATTTCTTTTCTTATTTTCCGTCGAGTCCTTCCCTTTCTCTCCCGTTTCCGGCGAATGCAATGAATTCCAGCAATTTACCCTATAGTCACAGGCTGCGTTCGAGCAATTTCCCCTTAATGAACTCCCGAAGGATCAGAACTCGTCGGTGGTGTTCCGGCTTAGACACGGCGGCGAGGTGGAGTCCGACGGCAACTGCCTCTTCACAGCGTCCATTAAGGCCATGGGGCTCGCCACCGCCGCTACCGCCAGAGATCTGAGGCGGCGGATGCTTTAGACTCCGCCATCAATGAGCTCGTTCAGCTCGGAATGTAGCGGTAAATTTTCTTAATTTGCAGATCTGATAAACTCTTTTACGGAGTAAATTTTTTTTATTATTTGTTCAAATATCTCTGTTTCTCGGTAGACATGTTGGTAATTGATAGGAAAGTGATAGAAAAAGATGAATTTCTTGACTTATTGCATTCACCTAGGAAAATATATAAATTTTCAATATATTTGAAGAAAAATCAAATCTTTATAGGCAAGGCGAGCTGTTTGTGTTTTAAACCTGGTGGCTCAACGTCGTCGTGGCTAAGTCGGAACGCATTGCATTCGCCGAAAATGGGAGAGAAACGGATGAACTCGTCGGAGAAAAAGAAAAGAGACATGAAATGACTAAAATACCTTAATTATTTTTACTATTAAAATTTTTCAAACGAAATTTGGCTGGAGGGATCAAAATTGACAAAAATTTTATAATTAAGGTACTAAATTGATACTTTTGAAAGTCAGGGACTAAAATTAACAATACTCATATAGTCATAATTGAAATTTCCTCTCTCTCTATATATATAAAATCCTAATCATATGAGAACCACTCACAGGTGAGAACTTGTGGACCTTAAGAAAGAAAACAACACACTTTAAGAAACAAAACCATGCACCTTAAGCATCTGGTTGACGCACCTTAAGTTTCAACAACTACTCACCTTAAGCACACAAACCACGCACCTAAGCATAAAAATCACGCACCTTAAGCACAAAAATTACTCACCTTAAGAAGGAAAACCACGCACCTTAAATTTGATCTAAATGCAAAAATTACTAAATTACCACCGTGCTTTTTTTTTTTTTGGTTAATCTTGGACCTTGATTTAAGAAAGATCAATGGCTCAGATTTAACCCACAACCGCACTTACACCCTCAACCGCAGAGACGGAGCTAGTGTGGGGGCAGTGGGGTCGCGGCAGCTAGCTCCACTCCCCCCAGCCCACCCCTTTATATATATGTATGTATATATGTACATATATAGCATTAGATGTTATATAAAATAAATATTTATGTTTATATTGCTAATAATTTGAGTAGCTTAGTTAGTTGCATTTTTTTATATATGTTAAGAAAGCCTATGATCATTGATTTAAATCTCATTAACAACATTTCTCTTATCTTCACTTGTTTATTTTATCTCTTTCATTCCTTTCCAAGATAAATATTTTTTTTAGTCCACTTTTATAAATTATTTAATTAACAAATTAAATATTCTTTTAGTTTATTTTTTATGAATCATTCGTAATATACAAATTTATATTATATTTCATTGTATTCGAAACTGTTTGATATTTTGTAATTAACATTTCTAACGTTATTTAAACTTCACCTCCACTTACAAAATTTTTTAACTCTGTCCTTGCTCAACTGCACGGGAACCATTTCTATATATATATATATATTGAAACAAAAATATACGACAAAAGTAAACAAGTTAATAACGTTTTGCTTAAAATACCATAAGCAAGGACATGAAGCTAGGACATCAAGCTAAGTACGTGAGGAGTGTTTTCCAATGCAATCAAAATATGTAGGCATCTTGTATCCTTACCAAGTGTTAGATAGCTTAAAAGCATACACATACAAATTAAAACAATAAAATTAAATAAATCCATAGCTATAAATGACCATCAATTCAAAACCCTTTCACCATCACCACATTCTCAACAACCCAAAAATTTCACAAAAACAATTATCATAACAACATGGCATCCAATTCGAACAACTTCCCAGCAGCCGACCATGACTATGTCATAATCATTGTGTTTCCGGTGGTGGGGTGCATTTTTTTCGTCATGGCCTCGCTCGCGCTCTGCTTCTACATGAAGAAGAGGGACAAGAAAAGAACCGTTCAAGAAGTCGACCTCAAACACATCGATGAACATATAAGAATCCAAGAGGCTGTCGTAACGGACAGCCATGGACGAAAAAAGACGGTGGTTTTGTCTGTTAAGGGTGATGTTCACGTTGATGAAGACATCATAAGGCGAGAGAAAGAGTTTAATGTTGGTACATCTGAGGTTGGTAGCGGTGATCTTGAAGCAGGACAATCTTCTTCTAGTGCAAAAGTAGACAATCTTGAAAAGTCTTGATTCTAATTGGAGTTTGAATTTGGGAGAATAAATTGGTGTAATACAATTATAATATATATATTGAAAACATGGCCTGGGGTAATATATATGGTCTCTTGTACCTACTAACTTGCCATGACTTCGTGTATGATTATTTATGAATTGTACGTACCTAAAAATCAATTATTTCCTCAGCCAATTTTATCTATCTTACTTACTATCTAAAGAAACTAAGGGAGGATAACGAGCGTAGAGAAAGGGCTAAGGCTGTGATAGCAAATAGCAAGTCGCAAGTCGCAAATGCTATGAGCTTAAGGGTTGTGACCTTAACAACCCTAGGAGTTATGCTAATGTTAAGTGTTATACCTTTTCTTTTTTTGGTAGAAGTTAAGTGTTAGACCTTAGTTGTTTGTTGTAAAGGTCTTTCGATATATCATCCGACCTTGCCTAAGTAAGAAGCACAAAGTCTGCACCAGCCAGGCACAACTTGTTAGGATTATTCAACAGAGAAGTATGCACCTTATGAGGAATGCCTTTTGTCCTTTTGAGCTATTGGGTGGACACACTCTCCAAGGACATTTGACAACAAGATATCTTCTAACAACAAGCAAACATGCTTTTTGGCCCTTGCACCAATCAGATAATTCCTAACTTGTTCAAAAAATGAAATTGTTTTTAACTAGTGGTCAATAGCGTGTAGCGGAAAATGAGGAAATGGTAGCTTTTGGAAACCTACCACTTTAGGAAGGTGCCAATAAGAAGATTTTCAACGTTCAAATTCCAAGCCTTTCAACTCTATTTAAAGAGTCCATCCTGAAGTGTGAAAAAGTTACACAGAGATACGCACAAGATGAGTACTAGTAGCTATATATGCACAAAACTTCTAAAATCTTTTAGCCTTTAAGCTTTCAATAACGATTCAAAGAATCATCTAGATTCTTTCCCATTTTTAGTCACCCAGATTAATATCCTTAGGGATCATCTTCTACATCTCTTAAGGCAATTTTATGAACGACCTTTGGAGACGATAGTGAGGCAATGAAAAACAAGTAGCTTGGTGAAGAAAGTCATTCAAGAATTGTCTTTAGTGGACAGTAACCTAGTTGGCTTGGTTTGCAACTAGTGTGAAAAACTATGATGAATTTCACTTGTATTATTGGGACTAGTGGAACCCATTGTGCTAAGTAGAAGAGTGGAATAGAGATTGCCTGAACCACTATAAAAATTCTCAGATTCTCTTTCTCTTTCTCTTTTTATTTTACAATAATTTAAGTGTAGAGTTTAAACACACTATCACTTTAATAAAATCGCTACAAAAACTTTACAGGCAAACTTTGTAAGACTTCCATGGTTCACAAACTCTAAGTACGTAATATTTTTAAAAGGTTTTTAAAAATCGTAAGAAAGTCTATTCAACCTCTCGTATCCCCTCCCCGCCCCTCTCTCCCCTCTTCTCTTCTCTTCTTGACTTTATCTTTGCCTTGGGATGAATAAAGTATTACTTATCAAGTAAATTGAATAGTAATCCTATCAAGCTAAAATCTAATAAGTTTTTTGGAAGAATGTAATACTTAAGAAATAAGTGTTATTTATTAGTGAAGATTTAATACTTTTCAATTGAAAAAAAAAAAAACTAATTTTTAAATAGAAAAATGATATTTAATACTTCAAATTATTAGTTTTTTTTTTTTTGGGTATAAAAGTGATATATATATATATATATATATATATATATATATATATATATATATATATATATATATATATATATATATTAGGAAAAAGTGTCAAATAGGCCCCCTAAGTCGAGTGGATAGTGCAATTGGGTCCCCTAAGTGAAAAAAGCTCCATTTAGGTCCCTTAAACTTGTAAAATTGTTCAATTAAGTCCAGATTGACCTGTTTATCAGGTTAAATGCATACAGTGTTGACACGTGTCCTTATTTTATTTTTTATAAAAATATTACTTATTATAAATTAATTAAAATATAATAATAATTAAAAAAATTTATTTTTTATTAAAAAAATTATTTATTATAAATTAATTAAAATAATAATAATAATAATAATAATAATAATAATAATAATAATAATTACAAAAAAAAAAAAAAAAAAACAGCCGTGGCCGACGAAAAAGAAGATGGTCATGGCCGTTTTCTAGATCTAGAAAACTGACATGGCCATCTTCTTTCGTCGGCCATGGTTGTCTTTCATAGACGGCCGCGACAGTTTTTTTTTTAAATTATTATTATTATTATTTTTATTAATTTATAATAATAATTAAAAAAAACTGGCCATCTTCTTTCGCCGGCCACGGCTGTTTTTTTTTTTAATTATTATTATTATTATTATTATTATTATTATTATTATTATTATTATTATTATTATTATTATTACTATTTTAATTAATTTATAATAAATAATATTTTTAATAAAAAATAATTTTTTTAATTAATTTATAATAAATAATATTTTCAATAAATAAAATAAGGACACGTGTCAACACCGTATGCATTTAACATGATAAACAAGTCAACCTGGACTTAATTGAACAATTTTACAGGTTTAGGGGACCTGAATGAAGCTTTTTTCACTTAGGGGACCTAATTGCACTATCCACTCGACTTAGGGGGCCAATTTGACACTTTTTCCTATATATTATTTTAAAAGTATTCGATTATTACATTAAAAACATTATCTTTTAGTATAAAATAGATTATCGTAAGCAAGACCAACACCGCTAGGACATGAAGCTAAGGGAGGAGTGTTTTCCAATGCAATCAAAATATGGAGTTCACTGCACAGCTATCCATACCTATAAATGACATCCTTAACATGAGAGCTAAGTTTTAGATAACTTAAAAGCATGCACATATACAAAACAATAAAATTAAACAAATCCATACCTATAAATGACCACTCATCAATTCAAAACCCTCTCACCACCCCCACAATCTCAATTACAATATACCAAAAATTTCACAAAAATATCTATCTATCATAACAATATGGCATCCAATTCGAACAACTCCCCACCAGGCGACCACGACTATGTCATAATCATTGTGGTTCCGGTGGTGGGGTGCATTTTGTTCGTCATGGCGGCCGCGCTGGCGCTCTGCTTCTACATGAAGAAGAGGAACAAGAAAAGAAGCGTTCAAGAAATCGACCTCAAACACATTGATGAACATATGAGAATCCAAGAGGCTATCGTTACAGACAGTCATGGACGGAAAAAGACGGTGGTTTTGTCTGTTAAGGATGATGTTCACGTTCATGAAGACATCATAAGACGAGAGAAAGAGTTTGACAATAATAATGTTGGTACATCTGAGGTTGGTAGCGGTGATCTTGAAGCAGGACAATCTTCTTCCGGTGCCACCATAGCCAAGATTGAAAAGTCTTGATTTGAGTTGGTGTTTGGATTTGGGAGAATAAATTGGTGTAAATAAATGTTAATAAATTGAGAACATGGGAATAATATATTATATGTATCACCTCGTGTACCAACTTGCCATGGCTGCGCTTTGTGTTTTGTTGTTTCTGAATTGTACATGAAAATCAATTAATATATACTTTTAAAAAAATATATACTTTTCCCTGTTCTCAATAATACAAAATTGTGGAGCATGAACTAGACCTAATATGTTACAAGAGGTTCTAGATCATTCATCCACTCTTTTATTTATTTATTTATTTATTTATTTATTTATTTATTATTATTATTATTATTATTATTATTATTATTATTATTATTATTAATTATTAATATATTCATGTCCGTAGTATGTTGTTATAATTATGATTATTATTTTTATTATATTATTGTATTATATTATGTTCTGAAAAATAATATATATTGTATTATATATTTTATATCTTAGGTTTATATAACAAGTACATTATAAGATTATATATATATATATATATATATATATATATATATATATATATATATATATATATATATATATATATATATATATATATACATTAAATAATGCTATATTATTATTTTTAATAATTATCTACCTTTTTGTCTTAGAAAATGAAAATTCACAAGCGAGGGCAACTATTAGTGATAATGTACTTGCTATTGATATCGATATTGGCAGCCAGATGTTAATTATGAACACCGCCTAAAAGTCAATTGACTCATGGTACGTTGCACTTTTTTATGTTATTTATTTATTATTTATATTTGTAATACAATTTTATTACAACAATTGAGTTTATTCTCTCAAATTCTTTATGGACATAATGTAGGTACTCATGTTTTTATCCAACGTTTGGCACTGACTCCTTCAAACCCGAGATTTCCTTTTAAATTTCAAATGAAGCAATTTTCTGTTATATTGTCATATGCCATTACAATCAACAAAAGTCAATGTCAAACATTATCTCATGTCGGGTTGTTATTAAAAAAAAAAAAAAACATGTTTTTAATCATGGTCAATTGTACATAGCAGTGTCTAGAGTTAGTAATCCTGATGGTCTTAAAGTTTTAATCTGTGATGAACGTAGATGTTTTTTAAACACTACTCAAAATGGTGTTAGAATGGTTTTAATTTCGCGTTATTGGGTCGGGTTTTGGGCCATGTTTTGGGTTTTTATTTTGGGCCATAATTTCTTTTATTATTTTAACTGTTGGGCCTACCATAAATGTAATGTATACATCTATATGGCAAATTATGCTGTGCATCCGTATGCACCATGCATCCGTATGCACCATGCATGGTGCATACGGATGCATGGTGCATACGGATGCAAAAACGACGTCGTTTTAATAAAATGCGCGTCTCCCTTTAAAAAAAAAAAATCAGGTTCGATTCCCAGCAACAACATATGAACTAAAATTCCATAATTGATGAACTATAATTCCATAATCGATAAACTATAATTCCATAATCGATGAACTATAATTCCATAATCTAATCTATGAACTAAAAATTCCAGAATGAATGAACTAAAATTCCATAATCTATAAACTAAAATTTCAGAACCGATGAACTACAATTCCAT